TTGTTAATTCAGGGAATCAACCATCACTGATTACGAATCTATAAGTGTTGGATTTTAAAAATTTATTATGGTGAATTTAATATTGTAAAAAAATTTTTTTTTAATTTGATCCGATTCGTTTAAAACTTGTTATTCTGGGGTATTTGAAGTCCAATTTATTATCAGTTTATTTAATCAGTAACACTGAAAACCCCTGAATAGCGTGATTCATATGAATCTGATAAACTGAAAAAATAATTCGCAATTTTGAATTTTGTTAATCTAATACGTCAGATTTGGAATCAGTAGCCTTTAAAATCAAGTTTCTTATAGTAAATTTAAGTAGGTTTAAAAATTTTTCGGCTACTATATTGAATCAGACTTTTTAAATTTTGAAAAATTGACATCGATTTCCTAATCAGCGATTCCGAAAATATCGAGGAAACAAATTTTAAGCAAATCTAAACGATTTTTAAAATCATCATTTTTGTATTTAGCAACACTAAAAACTAGTAGAATAACTTTAGCTTTCTTTTCTTAATTATCCCGTATTTACTGGATAAGAAAGGATTAAGAATTGTGACCTTAACGTAACCTAAAACAAAAATTAGTTAAATTACGTTTTCCAAAATTGATTGAAATTAATTTTTCCAACTAAATATCTGGCACAAAACATTGGGCACAAATATTATAATTAACCAAGCATAATTTCGTTGATACACTGAAAAAAATTTCATTTAAATAATCGGTTATTTGACTATTATTAAATAAATACTTATTTCTATCAAATAATTATTATTTGAGTCAATTAAATTGTATTTGTTTCAAATACAGAAATTATTGGTTCAAATACAGTTTATTTAATAAAAATAAAAATTATTTAGTTCAAATAAATTTTTATTTGATAACAGTTAAGTAATCGAGTTGAATTCTATAGAACTTTATTACTGGGTCATTTTAATCACTTCTAAAAATCAACAGATTGAAATAAAAATGTCTTTTAAGATATACTAAACTAATTTCACTTCTTTCATCGTCATTCTTTTCTTTTTATATTGATTAAAATATATTGAAATTTACCAAAGTACTATAACAATAATAGTAATACCTTCTTATAATTTTTTTCATTACCTATATTGACGTTTTTAATGTATAAAAATTTGACAGAATGAAAATTATATACGACTTTTTCTTATATTAAAATATGTAATATACTTAAAACTGAAATATTGTAATCATAATTTCTTTTTTTAAAAATATCCAATATAGCATTGAATTACATTCAAAGGATTTAAATTTCTTTCCATGTTTCATGTTATACATTGCCTTATTTTGTATATATAAATAGAATATAATAAATTACTTTAAGGGTAGTTTATTTGAAGCTTTAGTAACAGTCTGTTTTTGTCATTTGTACAAGGTGATTGTACAAAAAATGAAGTTGAGAAATCTATTTATTGTGAGTTTTATTTTTTGGAAAGAAATCTTAGTTATATCATCAACAAGTAATTATTTTGATGGATTGATAAAGTATTTAAAAGAAGAATCAAAGTTACATCAGGCAGTGTTTATTGTTGACGATAAAGAAAAGAATGTTGATCCAGTAATGAATTCTCTTATGACAATAGTCAATTCACATTTTCCATCTTTAAGCATTAGTTTCAATGAACTATTTAACAAAATAAAAGAACCACATTTAAAGTTTTTTATGCGACCCAGACATACTACACTGTTTATTTTACAGTGGATTAACAAAGAAACTCTACTTCACTTCCATGAATTCTTTTATAAATGGCAGGATTTATTACTTAGATCATCAAAACCAAGATGTTTAGTTGTAAATTCAAATTTGTCAACTCATGATTACATCAACAGAACGCTGCATTTATTTTGGGAACAGAAATTTTTGGACATTACTTTATTGACGTATGATAGTCAGAGCAAAGTAACGATGAAACCAACTTTCGAAAAATTACCTATTATTAGCCACATAAATCCTTTTACCAATTACTATTTTGCTCAAGTGGTATCAAATCAATGTGAATGGTTTCCAAATAAATTATTAGATCTAAATAGATACAAATTCAACATACCCATTCAATCTGCTAATATTTCATCTGTACAAGAATACAACAAGTTAATAAAATTGGTTAAAATTTTGGAACAAGAGATGAATTTTGAACCTGTTATAATACCATGCCTAAATTTGATTACAACACGCAAAACCAAGTATGAAGATTATAGGAAATTATTAATGAAATTAGATGCAGATATTATTTTCGGAGACCAAAAAAATTGTATTTATAATAAATGGTTTGATGGTCAGAATATGCGAATTCTAGAGTTTATTAGTGCAGAAGCTATTATTCCACGAAATGCAAAAGTTGCCAATGAAATCCAACTTTCATCAGAATTTTGGAACATGATCCTAGCAACAATTGGAATAGTTGCAATAATACGAATAACTGCATATGTATTAAAATTCAAATGGCAGACTTTGAATATCAGTCAAATTGTAATTGGAATGGGTACTGAGAATGAACCACAAAATTGGTCAGAAAGAATAATTTTTGGCTCACTCTTAATTGCATGCATTGCCTATACAAGTTATTTTTACATTATAATTCTTGATATCAATTTTCGAACTTCTAATGAAATTTCAACACTCGATGAACTTCTTAAATCATCTTTGCCAGTAGTTTTAAGTTACAATGCTTATGTAGTACTTATTTCCTTGAGAAATTCTAGTGTTCAACAATTTTTAAAAAAACAGTATGAACGTTCCAAATATTATGAACTCAATGTAGAAGAAAATTGTGTGAAATATTTGGCAGACTATCAAAATATAACTTGTATGATTCATGAAGCTACTAAACGCATTAGAACATATGAAATTAAGTACGGAAAAACAAATAAGTTTAAAGTATTGAAAGAAAATCTTAAGTTTGGTACGAATAGTTTCGGGGTAAAAGAGGATTCACCATTTATTGAACGTTTTAATGAAATAATTCTAAGAGCTTCAGAATTTGGATTAATTAAAGATTTTTATGAACCTATTGTACGTCCTCTAATTGATAATTTTGAACCTGATCTATTGACAAAAGAAAAACTACTACCCATATTACTTGGTGTACTAATCACTGGATACTCTCTTTCTATAATTGTTTTTCTCCTCGAAATAATTACTGACAAGATAAGAAGAAAATTTTTCTACAATCCAAGATTTCGATTTGTACTTTAGGTAGATATCAATGTTACTGCTTTTATCCAATAATAAGAGATAGGAGCATCTTTTAGTGGGTTTATTATGTGAAAGTAATTACTTGTAGTTTGTTAATTCCTGCTTACTATTTACTTATTATAGTTATTTAATTTTTCAAAATTTAAAATGGCTGATTTAATATGGCGGCCATTTCGGATTCCATTGTTTCCTAATTTGAAATAGGAATTTTAATGTGGTGGATGAAAAAAATTAAAAAATTGATTTTATTTGCTTCTATTTTATTACTAATCAGATGTCAATTTTTCAATATTCAATATGACATATCCAATACGAACAAATTTTTTTTAAATTCATCCAATTCGTTTGAAATTCGTTACTCGATGGTATTCAGTGTCAATAATTACAAATTTAATATCAAGTTTGTAATAATAACTCTACACTTAAAATCATATCTAAAAAAATGGAAATGTCTGATTAAAAATTATTTCTTTCAGATAAAGTCATTAATGAAATGGAGAATATACATTATCTACAGTTGACTTAACAATTATTGAAGAATATAAAAAAATGGATATCCGCTTTATGATAAACTACTCCAAAGGGAAAAATATGAAATTCAAAGGAATTAAAGTGAAATGTCTTTTGAATCATTTTTGAATCTTATATCTCGTTCAAATTAAATTAAAATACATATTTGTATTAACTGCTATCGATTAATGTGATGTTGAAATTTTTATTGTATACTTATTGACGAAACTAAATTAATAGCAAACATTTACTATTTACTACATTTACATTTATCAAAAATTCTGACGGAATTTCGACGGAATTAGGACTCTAAAAATTTTGAAAAAATTAATCGGAATTCCGTCGGAACTCCATCGGAAATTCTTTGGAATTCCGACGGAATTACGTTGGAAGTTCCGGCGGAATTCTGATAGAACCTTCACGGGTAACTTTCCGGGAAATCTTTCCAAGTGTGACATGTTTGTATTTATTGTCCTGTACGACTTTATAGAAAATTGAAATAAAATTGTCTTTTGAGGTTTACAAAAATAAATTTTTTCTTAGTCGTTCACTAATTAAAATTTTTTATAAATGGTGATTTATTAAAAATGCCTAAGAGAAAAATTTTCATTTCAACTTCCACTCCTACCTCCAATTTTTGGGATTAGAAATTATAAAAATTGAAGTGGGAATGGGAATTAAAAAAAGTTGAAGTGGAAATGGAAGTGGAAAATAATAACATACTTTTCATGAATTTTATTAAAAAAATCGAAGATATACTTTTCCATTTATATAAATAATTAAATTTGTTTTTTTTTAATAACAATTTAAATTTTATAATTTTTTAAAATATTTTTTTCATGAAGGAGCATTTGAATGCGAGTTTTAAAAAAAATTAATTCCGATTGGTTAAAATTTACGAAAGTTATAATAATTTTGAAAAAAAATTACAAATTTTTCAGTATTTTGAATTTTTTAAAAATACTTGGGATTTCTTATTTTTAACCTTTAAAAGAACCCAAATTATAAATTTCATAAAAATTTATCAAAATAACACAAATAATGTGTTCACTTGACATATCGAGTGTCTCATTAATATAAAATTTAAATATCAACGTGCCTATTTTTCTCAAGGTCATTAATAGCTGCACAAGAAATTTTAAAAAATAAATAATTGTTTTGTCTAGATCATAAATGATAAAAGTTTTTATACTCGAAATGTAAATTTGTTTTATATCAAAATATCAAACAATGAAGAAATATAAATACACCATTTGCCGATACATCCATGTGTCAGTTTAAATTTTACAAAATTCTTTCTAAAAAAATATTTTATTTACCAAACTAATTTTATAATAAAGAAGAATATTTTCTGTCAAATCTAAAATGATTTCAACCATAATAATGACTTTTGGTCCTATTATAATAGGTTCAATTTTTCCACTTTTTGTACAATCTGAAATGGTAAATATTTTATCATTAATAAAAAAAAATTTTTTTTTTATTTAATCAATAAATGTTTTTTTTTCAGCGCATTAAAAATGACCATCCTCATAAAGTTTCATGTTATTATTATCCATCGTCTCACGATGGTATGTAAATTTTATTTTTCTCAATTTGTATTTTATTGAATTTTTTTTTTTACTATTTTTTAAATTAATTAATTTTAGCTTTAAAATCTGACGTCGTTCCAATTGTGGAGGAACGATCTTCATTAGGCGATGAAGTAAGTAAATTAAAATTTAATTTGAATAACAAGGAAGTGAAGATTTCCTTAAAAACAAGTGAAGGATTTTTAATTCATAAAAATACACGAGTTTGGACAGCAAAAAAAGAAAAGAAACAAGCAACAAAAGTATTATATACACTTCATAAAGATGTACGTATTTGAATTATAATTAAATGTTTCTATGAAAATTACAAAATTATATTTAAATTATAAATTATATTATTTCTATATAATTTAGGCATTCAATGGTATTGAAACTTATACAGATGAAGATTCAAAAGCATCATTTTCAGTGCTGACAGATAAAGAGGGATTCAGACATTATGTGAGTACAACAATTTTAATATAACTTACTTCCAAATCATCACCCAGTGGTCAAAAAACCATGTTCGTTCTAAAAACGTTTCATGTCTGCCAAATAATGTTCTGGAACATTATTTGAACATCCATATGTTCTTAAAATGTTTCAGAACATTATTTGGTGGACATGAAACCTTCTAAAAACGTCCTTAAAACGTTTTTAGAACGAACATGGTTTTTTGCCCACTGGGCAATAGGTCATATGCTAATTAATATTTTCCATGCATTTGTAATGTGTTTGTTGTAATAACTCGGATATAAAATTAATTCTATACTCTCTTAAAGTTACGTTATACTAAGTAAAATTTTTTATATTAAAATTATTATCTGTTTAATTGAGTTTAAATTATTTTATTTATTTTTGCCTTCGAAGGTACAAATAGTCGGTTGATTAATTTTATTGACATCCTCCATTTATATTTTCAAGATACGAATTTCCTTTAAAAATTTTGTTACCTCTAGTGAATTAAAGAATTTATTACAAATTTAAGTATACATAATTTAGAAATAATAAAATTTCCGATTAATCCCCTTCTAATTTGGCATAATTACGGAGCATAAAATTTACTAAAACACTCCAAAAATTCGCAGTCTTATGGATATTATCTCGCAAGCGGTAATTATTGTTTCAGAGATTTTCATATGTAGAATTGTGTTAATTTATTGTAACAATTTTCACAATAGGATTTGAATCTCCCGGCGATTAATTTCTACAGAATTATTATCGAGTATAATCAAGATTTATTTTACCGTAGAATTACAATAGTAATCGCAGTGTGAATTCAAAACCAACGCGCAAGTTATAAAAAAAAGTAAATGATTTATAAAAATAAAATGTTTAAAATGTGTTACATTAAATATTATTTTTAGATATTAAAAAAATACAAATTTATACCGAAATCCGTTCGTAACTAATTTAATTTTTAAATCAAAATAGCAAATAAATTTCTCTTTTCAGAGTGGTATTGTTAATTATCAATACGGTTTTCAATCTGCACCAAAAAATTCTCGAAAGCGTCGTCATACTAATGATCATAATGCAACAATATCAACTGTGGAACATATTATTTACAATCTACCAAACTCTGAAAGTTCAAGTAAGTGTTATATGTTTTTACTTTTAGATAGTAAAATATTGAATTAGAGAAACGCGACGAAAGATTTAAGAAGGAATAGAAGTAAACGGATTAACGACCCCATCCATAAAAACAGAAGTCTTTTCTATAGATTTATAGAATTTATTAGAATTTATTTCTATATCTATTTTGATAGCTTGCTGGTGCCTTTCCAAACCTACTAAATTGAAGTTAATATTAAAAAAAAATTTTCTGGTTTGTAACAATAGAGGGGAAAGAAATGGGAGTAGGTAGACGAAGTACTGGGGGTCAATTATGTAACTTTTGCCGGATTCCACATTCCGGATCCCACATTTCAAATTCCGGATTCCACTTTTCACATTTCGGATTCCATATTCCGGTTTCCACATTCCAGATTCCACTTTCAAAATTCCGTATTTCAAATTCCACATTTCACATTTCGGATCCCACATTTCGTATTCCGGATTCCAAATTCCGGATCCCACTTTCCATATTTCGTATTCCGGATTCCACTTTCAGAATGTGGAATCCGGCATTTTGAAAGTAGAATCCGAAATGTGAAATCTGGAACACGGAATGTAAAAAGTGGAATCTGGAATTCAAAATATGGAATGTGAAAAGTGGAATCTCTAATACTGAATTTGAAAAGTGGAATACGGAATGTGAAATCCGAAATGTGAAAAGTGGAATCCCGAATAGGGAATTTTGAAAGTTGGATCCAGAATGTGGAATACGGAATTTTGAAAGTGGAATGTGGAATCTGGAATACGGAAAAAATTACGTAATTGACCCCCTATTGGAAGCTGATAAAAACTTAGTTAATGGAAGGAAGGAGTACATGAATTTTTAAATAACAGACTAGTAAACATAATAACTGATAAGAAACTTTTTCACTAGTTATTTATAATAATTACAATATATTTTGAAATTTTGCGAATTATTTTATAAGCATCCCGTTTTGCTGATTCATATTCCAAACCCTACATTGTGGACAAGACTTATTTTTGGGATAAGGATGCGGAGAAAATACCTCTACCTGAAACGGTGTATCCGGAAATTTTAGTTATTATGGATTACAAACTTTTTAAGTAAGTTTAATTCCAAATAGCATATATGTTATGCTAACATTGATGTAGCATTTAGTTTAGAGAATTTTAAACAAAATCAATAATTCTTCTACACCACTAAAAAGAATATAAGTAATATAAAAAAATAAATTTAGGATATAATTAAAGAAAATATTATTTTAGACATTACAAGGGAAATTTAACAGCAGCTTTGAGTTACATTGTTACATTTTGGAATGCAGTTGATTTGAAATATCGAGATTTATCAGAACCAAAGGTGCGACTTCACATTTCGGGTGTTATTATAGAAGAGGTAATTAATTCTATTTCAAAATTTCAATAATTAATTTAAATTGCAAAGAAATTGCAGTTTTTAAATTTAGTTCTATAAAATAATTTTAAATTTAATTAATTAGGAAAATGGAGTAATTGTACCTAAATCAATGCCACGAAATAATAAAAATAGATATTCAGGAAAAATTGATGGAAATTTAGTTTTAAAGGAAATGGGAGTGCATTTACAAATGGAAAGTAATTTAACAGTTGGAAAGGATTTCGACTTAGCACTTTTAATGACAGGGTAATTGTTTTATTTAAAATTATTATTTATTATCCTTAATGTTTTATGAAAAAGTAAATTATTTTTATTGAATACAGCAATGATCTTACTTACGATATAAATGAGCCGAGGGAAAAAAGACGTGCTTTGTATGGATTAATAGGTAATATTTAATAATCTGTTCTTTATTTTTTAAATTACAGAAAATTTTTATTTATTTTTATAATATAGGTTTGGCGAATCTCGGTTCAGCATGCAAAGTTGCAGGTAATAGATTCCTAGGTGTTGGCTTATTTGAAGACACAAATGGTTACATTGGAGTTATACATGCTGCACATGAATTGGCACATATGTAGATATAAAATAAATTTTTTATTATATTTAAAAAGTAATTTCTCTAATAAAAATAAATCGCATTATTTTATATACTCATTTAATTATTAAAGATTAGGAGCCTTTCACGATGGTGATAGAGCAATTCAAAGTGTTGATGAATCAAACATATGTATACCAAAAGAAGAAGATGACTATATTATGTCTACATTAAGAATTGATGGAAAGCAATTTTCAGTTTGTAGTAAAAAATTAATGCATACTTTTTTTGAGTAAGTCTTTAACATTTAAAGAAATAACATAAGTTTTATTTTTTAATTTTTATCACGAGTATTTTCTAAAATTTTATTAGAAAAATTTTCTATTTTCAAAAAAAAAAATTTTAAATATGTTATTTCAATATAGAGTGAAGTAAAAATTGAATTTCATATATTTATTTCAGACATGTTGACTCTCAGTGTCTTCGTAATTCTCCTAATGATTCGAATAGTGAATTTTTAATTGTAAATTTACCTGGTAAAGCAATATCACTGGACGAACAATGTCGAAGTGCAGGATTTGTTAAAGCTTACAATGTAAGGATATTTTTATATTAAAAGAACTAGAATTACTAGATGATTTACGTATTTTATTTTTACAAAAACAAAAAATTCCAAGAAAAAAAAATTTCTTTTTCAAAAATTTCAAGCATTTATATTTTAATCTAATATTTTTAGACTGATGATAGGGTTTGTGATACATTGTATTGCATTGGAGAAGATTTTAATGGTGATTTAAAAAATGCTACACACATACCTGCTGTTGAAGGTTCATTTTGTGGTGAAGGACATGTAAGTGGGATTTTTTTTTTAATAAAATATTTAAGTACCCTAATTTTAATTTAATATAATCTCTAGTACAAAATTTTCATAAATTTCATTATAGAGAATTTTTTTAAAAAAATTATTTGTTTATTAGAAAGTAAAAATTTTTCTCGTTTGCTTCTAGCATTGTATAAATGGAACATGTGTTAGTTCTGTACAAGAAAGAAAAACAGAAAAAGATAGCTATTTCATTATTGATAAGCAGGAAAGCATAACGGAAAAACCAGAAGATAACCAATATGCTAATTTTGTACCGGAAAGAAAGACGGAAAAACTAGAAGATGGATATTTTATTTTTAATAATATAGATAGACGCATCTACATTGGATAAAAATATTAATATTTAACAGATATCATAATTTAAGCCTAACGATATAAAATTTAGAAACTAATATTGTTAAAGAAATATAACTGTTTTATTTAATTTTAATAAGGTATAATTATGTTGTTTAATTGAATTATAAAGTGTTAATTTTTATTTGTAATAAAAAAAAATGTTACTGTTTTTAATTATAATGTTTATATTAAATTCTTGAAATTTAATAAATAAATTTAATTTTTCAAATTAAAAGTTCCACTAAAAATACGAATTCTCACCGACATATTGAATATAATAAATATGGTAGGGGATGGATCCACTACCTTTATAATTTTAATTGTCCGAAGAACATGTTGTTAGTTTACCAGAATTTAAAACAAGTTAAAGAACATTTTATATTTTATTGATGAATTTCCTTAAAATTAAAAAAAAAAAATCTTTTTCCCATCAAATTCCAACCATAACAATTAAATTAATCCTTGAGATACTTTTCAATGGGTTTTTCACATTTGCTAAACATTTTTAGAACATGAAACGTCTTTAGAATATTATTTTAAAAGACAGGAACGATCTAAAAACGATTTAGGAACGTTATTGGAACATTTAGGTTCTTTTTGCACACTTGATTGTTGTTGAACTCATGTGAATCAGTGATTACTCGGAAAAGTTATTGAAATAAAGTGACATATCTAATTTACTCTCCTAATTTCTCATTTCTTTCAATCCGCTACAAAAATTTTAAAGCTTTCGATTGAAAATAATATAGATATTAAATTATTTTAATAATTTTTTTAATAAAATTAAATTTATAATTCAATTATATTAATTTATTTACTTTTCTAATTCCAAATCCCTTTCGATCCACTTTGTAAATTTTGACGCTGTAATGTCGATTGAAAGTAATAGACATTAAATTAATTTAATAATTTTAATTTTTTAATAATTTTTTAAATAAAATAAAATTCTTAATATATTAATTTATTTCTGCTGGGAATAGAGAAGAATTCCTTTTTTTATATTTCGATATTCAGTGGGAAACAGAGTTATGACGGAAATTGACTTATTCAAAAGAATTAAAATATTTCGATTTATGCACGATTTCTGCAAACTTTTAATCATTCTCTATTCCTCGCTTCTTAAGGAGAACTATACATAGATCCAGTGCAGAAATTTAACAAAGTAGTAAAAATTAATTATTATTTGAATATATTGGTTGTTCGATTATATTAAAGGATTTTGAACTTCATCGGCATGTGGACGCAAGTGTATAAATGTGATATTCTATTATTAAATAAATAGAGCTATACATATTATTATATGTATTTAATTTTTTTTATGTACATACTTATAAATATTAAATATTATACATAAAAATTATGTGAATTTTGAATTGTGTGTTAATAAGTGAGTTAAATAAATATGAAATACTAAAGTCGATTTAAATAATAAATACATGAAGAAAAATGTTGTGCAATATTATTATAATTCATATTAATTGTAATTAGTTATTAACTGTAATTCATATTAATAATAATTAATTTTTAACTATAATTCATATCTATTAAAATTAATTATTATACTTATAATTTACATTAATTACAATTAATTATTACTTATAGTTCATATTAATTATAATTAATTATTAACTATAATTCATATTAATAATAATTAATTATTACTTACAATTCATATTAATTATAATTAATTATTAACTATAATTCATAATAATTCATAATTAATTATTAATAATAATTAATTATTTCTTATAATTCATGTTACGTTAGTAAATAAATTTTATTTTTTTATTATGTTTTTAATTTTGAAAAATTTATGTTTCTGCTCAAAATAAATTTATTTACTCTCTTCGGAGCACAAATAGCCGGTAAGAGAAGTCACTAACGAAAAATACTCCGACGACCGTTATATTATATTTTGTGGAATCAATAACCCTCACTTTATTGTGTTTCTTTCCAAAATGGATATTAAATGAAAATAGTAAAGTTAAATTTTTATTAACAATTTTATTTTTGTCAACATCCATTTTCCTCCCTTTAATATAATAATTTCAATTTTGTTTATAAGAAATTAGAATGATACAGTTTTATTTATTCTTATCTACAAACTAATTCCTTAGACAACCACCTTAGCCCGGAAGAGTTGAAATTCGATTTTTCCTTTGTCGAGATGGGCGAAAAAATTATTACTTAAACTAGATATTACTTAAAATTGTTTAATTTTAATTGAATGTTTACCGGTTAACGTCTCAAAGTGACGGACAGAATTTTGATTATTTTAACTTTTCAAATTTACAAGCTTTTCTTAAAAATTCGCGTTTGAAGTGAAACCTTTACACACGGAGACAGAGATTATCTCTTTTACCGGAAACTCATAACAGAATGGAAAATTAAGAAATTACTCGCGACTTTATACTAAGTTATTGTCTCGAAAACTGCAATTCACGTCAGCACGAATTCAATAAACGAGTTGGTCATTTTGTTTGAATTTTCAACCGAAGAAAACTCATTGTTACGAATTGAATTGAATATATAGAAAGGGCTTCTCTGAATCTTGCTTAGCGACAAATACAAATTGTACCTTGCCAAAAAAAGTTAATTCATTTCAATTAATCTGAATTAGTTTTTTTTACTGGGGTACATACAGTAACATACTACAATGTACACACACATACATGTGCTTTAGACTACTTATATATTTAGCAACTCAGCAAATTCCATATCACCTAGGTTTGTCACTTTAAAAGAAAGAATAGTTTCTTTTCTATTCGTTCGTTACAATTAATTATCAACTTGAATTCATATTAATTATAATTAATTATTAACTATAATTCATATTAATTATAATTAATTGTTACTTATAATTCATATTAATTATAATTTATTATTAACTATATTATGTTCGAAAGGTTTGGGGGGAAGAAAAAAATATATATCAAAATCAGATGTAATGGATGAAATTAATAATCAATAGTTAGCGTTTTTAAATAATCCAAACAGTGAGATAATTAACAAAGTGGCATATTTCATAGTTCAAATACTGAAAAAGGAATAACTGTTAAAGGATGAGGAAAAGAGAAACTTATGTTAATTAATTATTACACTACTCTTACTTATGTTATTACCAGAAAGTGAACTCTTTTGTATGGATTTCAATAATCCGCAAGCAAATAAAGAAATATTTATTTATATATTTATATAAATATTATGAAGAGATAATTTATTATTAACTATATTCATACTCCCATTCATATTAATTAATATAAATTAATTATTAACTTTAATTCTTATTAATTATAAATAATATTATTAATTATGATTGCTTTGCTGCAATATTGGTATATTATTTTTGGCCCACTGGATTGTTGTCGAACTCCTGTGAATCAGTGATCACTCGGAAAAGTTATTGAAATAATGTGACATATCTCATTTACTCTCCTAATTCCTCATCCCTTTCGATTATAATTATAATTCATAGTAATTAAAATTAATTATTATAACTATAATTCATATTAATTAAAATTAATTATCAACTGTAATTCATATTAATTAATTATTAACTATAATTCATATTAATAATAATTAATTATTAATTTTAATTCTCATTAATTACAAATAAATAATTAATTTTATTTACTCTCCCTGCATAGCAGACTTCGAGGATCCAATTACAATTGTTCTTATATTAATTATAAATAATATTATTAATTAAAATTGCTTTGCTGCAATATTGGTATATTATTTTTGGCCCACTGGATTGTTGTCGAACTCCTATGAATCAGTAATCACTCGGAAAAGTTATTGAAATAATGTGACATATCTAATTTACTCTCCTAATTCTTCATCCCTTCCGATTATAATTATAATTTATATTAATTAAAATTAATTATTATAACTGTAATTCATATTAATTAAAATTAATTATCAACTGTAATTCATATTAAGTATAATTAATATTATTAATTAATATTGCTTTGTTGCATTATTGCTATATTATTTTTGAAATATTGCTGCGATATAAAAATCTGTAATTAAATTTTAATTTCAATTACTGTCAAATAGTAAATAATAGTCGTGTGCCGCAGATTAATTACGATCAACAAGAAATTCACAAATTATTAATAGATTAATATTTTTCCTCTTATTAAAGCTCACTTGTTTAAAAAAGAAACTAAATTGACAGAAGGAAATGATTCACCCCGGCGAATTAGATATCCTGAAAGTTAACCCAGCTGAATTAACTTTCGGTTTTTTTTTTTTTTTGGAAAATATTTATTAAATTGGCAAAAATAATATGAATTTAAATTGATGAGGAATTTAATTTTCATTCAAAAAGAAATATGAAATTTATTAAATTCTATTATTTTTACTTTTAATTAATTAAATAAATATTAATTAAACATTAATTTTAGTACTAATGAAGATTCATTTACAATGAACTAAATAACTTTCGGAAAGGGTACTCATATCCTTGAACCCGGACAATTTTATTTCTTTATTTGCCTATGTATTTAATAAATTAATTATTTTTACCAAAGTACAATAGAAAATTTTTTTTTGTGTAAACATAAATTTGAAAATTTCTATTTGTTTAACTGTACAAAGTTTTTCTGAAATCGAATAACGCGCTCACTAGTTTACTTAATAAATTTTTATATTCTTTACAAAACTTACGAAATGTATATTTTTCAGCAAACAAATTTAAATTTAGTTTTCAAATTTTCTTATGAAATTAAATATAATTTGATAAAATAGATAAATATCTATAAACATAATACAGTTTACCTTGAATTAATAATATTAAAACTTATAATAGTTTTTTCTTGCATAAATAAAAATTAAAATACTACATTCCGACACGTGCAGTTTATTTAGCAAATAAAAAAAACGGTATATATAAACTTATAGATTGATGTTTGATACCACTCAGTCAAATTTCAACCAACTTTTTCAATACAAAGGTAAATATAAGTTATTTAATTTTATCAGAATAAACCATTTCTTACAGAAAAGGTCAAAATTTATAGTTAATTTTAAAACTAATCTTTTCCAGATATATTTCATTTAAGATGATTTATTTGCCAATTGTAATTGGCGCAATTTTTTCACTTTCTGCGGAATCATTTAAGGTAAATTTTTCATTTCTATTTAAAAAAATCAATTAATTAATTTAATAATTAAAACTTTGTGTTTGTCTAGATTCATGGACATGATAAAAGGCCAGAAGTACTTACTTGTACTTATCCAACATCAAATCAACCTATCGGTATAAGATTTTGAATGAAAAATATAAAATGCTTTTTTAATTTAATCTAAAAAATATGAAAAACTAATCTAATTTTTTATTAATTTTAGTTTCAGATAAAAAACATGATATTGTCCCCGTAACTGAAAAAGTATTTAATGAAGATTCTAGCTATAAAGAAATTTCATTTCATGTAAAGGATGAATCTATAAAGGTCAATTTACAGCGTAGTGATGGAGTTTTAGTACACAAAAATACACGTGTTTGGTTGGTCAAAAAAGAAAATAATAAAGTTCAATTTAAACTTCAGGAAAATGTAAATATTTTTATATAAAGAAAAAATTTATATTTTATAATTATATAATCAATATATATATTATATAATAAAAATAATTTTTCTTAGGCTCTTAACAACATTGAAGCTTATGTAGATGAATCAACTCATTCTTCATTTGTAAAATTACCAGAGGAAAATGGATATTACTTCTACGTAAGTAATGAAATAAAATACTTCTGAGCAAATTCGGAATAAATTTCAAAAAAAAAAAAAATGAAATCCAGAGAATTATTTATAATTTATCGGTGATGATGAAAATTTTTCATATTCCAAAAGTAAAATTAATATTAATCGCGGTATTAGTAAATGGAATTAATTTTTATTTTCTGTTACAAAAAAAAAAAAAAATTTCTTTGCACTTCCATGAAATTAAATAATATTTCTTTCTTTGCAGTATGGTGTTTATGATTATTCTATTGGCGTGAAAGCTGCACCAAAACAGCATGCACGAAGACGTCGTGAAGTTGAAGAAAATAAGACTGTTTCAACTATTGATCATATTGTTTATACCTTACCAAAACAAGTAAATTTTGGTAAGTTTTAGAATAATTACTAATTGACGTATTTATTAGAGTTGGAAAATATAACATATTTTAACATTCCATATTCATATAAAATTTCTACTTAAAATTTTTTTTCAGATCTAAGAAATGCTTACACAAGTTTTGAACCCGATCTATGTAATAAAACATCAGAATTAGCTCCTCCCGAAACTGTATATCCGGAAATTTTAGTCATCATGGATTATGCTCTCTACTCGTTAGTACAATTATTTTTTTCCGATCTTTATAAAACTTTCTAGAATCCCAGTGGACACAAAATATTCATTTGTTTCAAAAACATGCTTCTAACGTTTTTTTCTTTTTAAAGATAATGTCTGCTCAAGTATAACGTTCCAAAGATGTTTTATATTCTAAAACTGTTTTAAGAATTATAATCGGGAAAGTCATAGGATCAGACACTGATTTTAAAAAACGTTATAAAACAATTTTTGAAACAAAGAAACGTCCTTTTCCCATTGAGATAAATAATTTAATTAAATTTTTCTACATAAATTTTCATAGACATTACAAGGGAAATTTACAAGAGGCTTTAAGTTATATTATTACATTCTGGAATGCAGTTGACTTGAAATTTAGAGATTTACGTGAACCTGCAGTAAAATTAAACATTGCTGGAATTATCATAGAAGAGGTATGTTTATTAAGTCAATTAGTTAATTAGTATAATTTTTTTTTTTATTAAAAAAATGGATAAATAATTGACATTTTGATATTTCTTTATAATTAGGAAGAGGCTGCACTTTTGCATCATTCTGTAATACAACAAAATGGTACATTTAAAGGAAAAGTAAACAGAAATTTTGTTTTGGATGATATTGGTACTAATTTATATAACAGTCATTTGAAAATTAGAGAAGATTATGATCTAGCTGTTTATATGATGGGGTAAGAAATTGGATGAAATTATAAATTTTTGACATTATTTGAATTAAAAAAAAAAATTATAACCAGTTATTTAATAGTAATAATTAATTTCAAATTTTATAACATGTTTGCAAATCAGAGGGCTACTTCAGTTTTCATAAGAAATACATTTTTCTCTTTACTTTAGAAATGACTTGGTGACGTCTAATTTTGAAGAGGAATTAGAAAAGAGGCATGGCTTAGATGGAATATTAGGTAACATCTCATTACGATTATATGTTCATCTGCTGATTGAAACTTACTAGCATCAATTCTTAAGTTTTCTTTTGTGGTTTTTAATAAAAATTAACTTTCATCATATAGGTGTGGCAAAACTCGGAATGTCATGTATTAAGGATGATTCCGAAGGTATAGTTGATGCTGTTAGCGCATTTGAGGATTCAAATGGCTATATAGGAATCTTGCACGGAATTCATGAATTGGGTCATTTGTAAGAATTCTATTTTTTATTAAAATAATTTCATTTATTGACAATCAATATAATTAGTAATAATTATAGTTAAATCAATTTTTCTCATAGATTTGGTGCTTCTCATGATGGTGAAAGGGGTAATATTGCTTTGGGGCTGCCTGGTGCAGAAAATTGCAAAACAACAGCAGAAGATGATTTCATTATGTCTACAAAGCGTATTGATGGAAAAAAATTTTCATATTGTAGCAAAGAAGCGATGCGTATATTTTTCCAGTAAGTGCGCTCTTGTTGACAAAAAAAAATGGTTAAAAACTAAAATCAATTGACCCAGTTTAAAATCATATTGAATCTGCAATACATTTAATTGCAGATTTAATATTTCTGAAATTGAATCAATTTTAATAGTTTCTATAATTGAAATTTTTAAATATCTATTGTAATTTACAGCAAGGAAAGTGCAGAATGTCTTCGTAATCCTCCAGTTGTATCTAGTCAACCAATTTCATCGATAATATTACCCGGTAAAAAACTCTCATTAGATGAACAATGTGAGAGTGCTGGATTCCTTAGAGCTCATTTTGTAAGTGTTTAATTGTAGTTTTATAATGTTTTCTTTTCATCCATTTTTTCTATTAAGACATAACAAAATTCTATTACCAGAACGACACGTCTGTCTGCGATCATTTGTATTGCATTGCAAAAACAACAAATGATGGCGTTGAATATGTGACATCTTTGCCAGGAGCTGAGGGTTCCATTTGTGACATTGGTTATGTAAGTTCAATTTTTTTTTCCTTATTTAAATAAATAATATTTAATAAACATCTTATCGTAGATTTTGAAAATTATATTTAAATTTCTGCTTTAAAAAATAATTAATAATTTTTATGTTTTAGCATTGCATAAATGGAAATTGCATCAAGAATGATAATACTGACGAATATCTAACCTACCGTTATGTAGATAAGCGTACTTATATTGGAAAATAAAAATGTTAAATAATAATAAGTTTGATAACATTTTGCAAGCAAAATGCAAATTTTAATTACGTGTGATGTATTCTAAAATTTTCACGGTATACGAACCGGTCTATTATGGGGAGATTCGCTCAGAACTCTGGATCAATCGACAATCTTCAGTACGACACTGGAAATTGAGACAGAACAAATCATAATTTTTTCACTAACATTGATTTGGTTGAATCATAATAAAAATAAAGTTCATATAATTAACTTACTGTATTATTTCTTTTGTTTGACATTTTTTCCTGGCTGCATATTTGAGTTTAGAATATATAATATTATTCTCACAGAAGAATATAATTAAAATTATTGGTGTGTAACGTATCATTGTAACAACTGAAATTTTATCTGGTACATAAAATTATTATAAATCTTTTTTCTTTATTTTTATTTTACTTGGTTAAAGTATTCATTTATAAAAAGAACACTTGAACAGTGTCTATACACGGTGGTCTAGAAGCAGTCACAGGTATGACAAAAATGGGTATAAAAAGTACAAAAAGTGGGTTTTGTTCGTGACTATTTCTAGTTTCAAAATTCGTTCAGACCAAAATCCTAGAGCCCTCTATTCTTAAGATATCGTCATTCCCGTTTTTTCAATCTTCTTGCGCAAAGTCAAGCGAAAAGCGCTCGCCTTTCTTACTTAAATATTTATGTTTTTATTATTTTAATTCAATCTTAAACTATATTTATTATTGAAAAATAATGGTATGTAAAAAAATAAGCTATTAAATGACAATATTAAACCGTAACTGTTTGATGTGAAAATAAAATATCAATACCCCGTAAAAAACTTTCGAATTTAGATCAATATTGAATGTTAACTTGAATTCTGCATAAACAAAATCCTATAATCATATGAAGTTAGTCGTTTTTCAATAGATTCAACGTTTGACATTTTTAAATTGTCAATATAACCTTTGCTTTCAACTGCAACTATCTTTCAACGTAAGTAAATCTGTTTCTATTACTTTATTAAATTTTTATTAATCTTTATTATTAATCTATTAAAAATCATGGAATTTTATTATTATAATCTTGCAAAAAAAAAAGGTCATAATATTCAGTGTCCAATACAAGTAGAGGAAAACAAAAATTTCCACCCATAAGTCAACCACAATCACAAAAAAATCCACAAAAAAATTCAATTTTTCTTAGGCAGGCGATTTTATTGCATATTCTTGCACAAAATACACCTAAAAGTGTAGAAAAAAATCGACAGGCAAATTCAAGAAGAGGAAGACCTCTATTACCACCAAAAAGTCATCCAGGTCCAAAAAAAACTTTCCAAAAAAATTCAATTTTTCTTAGGCAGACGATTTTATTGCATATTCTTGCACAAAATACACCTAAAAGTGTAGAAAAAAATCGACAGCCAAATCCGAGTAGAGGAAGACCTCTATTACCACCAAAAAGTCATCCAGGTCCAAAAAAATTCAATTTTTCTTAGACAGACGATTTTATTGTATATTCTTGCACAAAATACACCTAAAAGTGTAGAAAAAAATCGACAGCCAAATCCGAGTAGAGGAAGACCTCTATTACCACCAAAAAAATTCCAGGTCCAAAAAAATTCAATTTTTCTTAGACAGACGATTTTATTGCATATTCTTGCACAAAATACACCTAAAAGTGTAGAAAAAAATCGACAGCCAAATCCGAGTAGAGGAAGACCTCTATTACCACCAAAAAAAATCCAGGTCCAAAAAAAAATTTCCAAAAAAATTCAATTTTTCTTAGGCAGACGATTTTATTGCATATTCTTGCACAAAATACACCTAAAAGTGTAGAAAAAAATCGACAGCCAAATCCGAGTAGAGGAAGACCTCTATTACCACCAAAAAGTCATCCAGGTCCAAAAAAATTCAATTTTTCTTAGACAGACGATTTTATTGCATATTCTTGCACAAAATACACCTAAAAGTGTAGAAAAAAATCGACAGCCAAATCCGAGTAGAGGAAGACCTCTATTACCACCAAAAAGTCATCCAGGTCCAAAAAAATTCAATTTTTCTTAGACAGACGATTTTATTGCATATTCTTGCACAAAATACACCTAAAAGTGTAGAAAAAAATCGACAGCCAAATCCGAGTAGAGGAAGACCTCTATTACCACCAAAAAAAATCCAGGTCCAAAAAAAAATTTCCAAAAAAATTCAATTTTTCTTAGGCTGACGATTTTATTGAATATTCTTGCACAAAATACACCTAAAAGTGTAGAAAAAAATCAACAGCCAAATCCGAGTAGAGGAAGACCTCTATTACCACCAAAAAGTTATCCAGGTCCAAAAAAAAATTTCCAAAAAAATTCAATTTTTCTTAGGCAGACGATTTTATTGCATATTCTTGCACAAAATACACCTAAAAGTGTAGAAAAAAATCGACAGCCAAATCCGAGTAGAGGAAGACCTCTATTACCACCAAAAAGTCATCCAGGTCAAAAAAAAAAATTTCCAAAAAACCTCAATTTTTCTTAGGCAGACGATTTTATTGCATATTCTTGCACAAAATACACCTAAAAGTGTAGAAAAAAATCGACAGCCAAATCCGAGTAGAGGAAGACCTCTATTACCACCAAAAAAAATCCAGGTCCAAAAAAATTCAATTTTTCTTAGACAGACGATTTTATTGCATATTCTTTCACAAAATACACCTAAAAGTGTAGAAAAAAATCGACAGCCAAATCCGAGTAGAGGAAGACCTCTATTACCACCAAAAAAAATCCAGGTCCAAAAAAAAATTTCCAAAAAAATTCAATTTTTCTTAGGCAGACGATTTTATTGCATATTCTTGCACAAAATACACCTAAAAGTGTAGAAAAAAATCGACAGCCAAATCCGAGTAGAGGAAGACCTCTATTACCACCAAAAAGTCATCCAGGTCCAAAAAAATTCAATTTTTCTTAGACAGACGATTTTATTGTATATTCTTGCACAAAATACACCTAAAAGTGTAGAAAAAAATCGACAGCCAAATCCGAGTAGAGGAAGACCTCTATTACCACCAAAAAGTCATCCAGGTCAAAAAAAAAAATTTCCAAAAAACCTCAATTTTTCTTAGGCAGACGATTTTATTGCATATTCTTGCACAAAATACACCTAAAAGTGTAGAAAAAAATCGACAGCCAAATCCGAGTAGAGGAAGACCTCTATTACCACCAAAAAGTCATCCAGGTCCAAAAAAATTCAATTTTTCTTAGACAGACGATTTTATTGCATATTCTTGCACAAAATACACCTAAAAGTGTAGAAAAAAATCGACAGCCAAATCCGAGTAGAGGAAGACCTCTATTACCACCAAAAAAAATCCAGGTCCAAAAAAAAATTTCCAAAAAAATTCAATTTTTCTTAGGCAGACGATTTTATTGCATATTCTTGCACAAAATACACCTAAAAGTGTAGAAAAAAATCGACAGCCAAATCCGAGTAGAGGAAGACCTCTATTACCACCAAAAAGTCATCCAGGTCCAAAAAAATTCAATTTTTCTTAGACAGACGATTTTATTGCATATTCTTGCACAAAATACACCTAAAAGTGTAGAAAAAAATCGACAGCCAAATCCGAGTAGAGGAAGACCTCTATTACCACCAAAAAAAATCCAGGTCCAAAAAAAAATTTCCAAAAAAATTCAATTTTTCTTAGGCTGACGATTTTATTGAATATTCTTGCACAAAATACACCTAAAAGTGTAGAAAAAAATCAACAGCCAAATCCGAGTAGAGGAAGACCTCTATTACCACCAAAAAGTTATCCAGGTCCAAAAAAAAATTTCCAAAAAAATTCAATTTTTCTTAGGCAGACGATTTTATTGCATATTCTTGCACAAAATACACCTAAAAGTGTAGAAAAAAATCGACAGCCAAATCCGAGTAGAGGAAGACCTCTATTACCACCAAAAAGTCATCCAGGTCAAAAAAAAAAATTTCCAAAAAACCTCAATTTTTCTTAGGCAGACGATTTTATTGCATATTCTTGCACAAAATACACCTAAAAGTGTAGAAAAAAATCGACAGCCAAATCCGAGTAGAGGAAGACCTCTATTACCACCAAAAAAAATCCAGGTCCAAAAAAATTCAATTTTTCTTAGACAGACGATTTTATTGCATATTCTTTCACAAAATACACCTAAAAGTGTAGAAAAAAATCGACAGCCAAATCCGAGTAGAGGAAGACCTCTATTACCACCAAAAAAAATCCAGGTCCAAAAAAAAATTTCCAAAAAAATTCAATTTTTCTTAGGCAGACGATTTTATTGCATATTCTTGCACAAAATACACCTAAAAGTGTAGAAAAAAATCGACAGCCAAATCCGAGTAGAGGAAGACCTCTATTACCACCAAAAAGTCATCCAGGTCCAAAAAAATTCAATTTTTCTTAGACAGACGATTTTATTGTATATTCTTGCACAAAATACACCTAAAAGTGTAGAAAAAAATCGACAGCCAAATCCGAGTAGAGGAAGACCTCTATTACCACCAAAAAGTCATCCAGGTCAAAAAAAAAAATTTCCAAAAAACCTCAATTTTTCTTAGGCAGACGATTTTATTGCATATTCTTGCACAAAATACACCTAAAAGTGTAGAAAAAAATCGACAGCCAAATCCGAGTAGAGGAAGACCTCTATTACCACCAAAAAGTCATCCAGGTCCAAAAAAATTCAATTTTTCTTAGACAGACGATTTTATTGCATATTCTTGCACAAAATACACCTAAAAGTGTAGAAAAAAATCGACAGCCAAATCCGAGTAGAGGAAGACCTCTATTACCACCAAAAAGTCATCCAGGTCCAAAAAAATTCAATTTTTCTTAGACAGACGATTTTATTGTATATTCTTGCACAAAATACACCTAAAAGTGTAGAAAAAAATCGACAGCCAAATCCGAGTAGAGGAAGACCTCTATTACCACCAAAAAAATTCCAGGTCCAAAAAAATTCAATTTTTTTAGACAGACGATTTTATTGCATATTCTTGCACAAAATACACCTAAAAGTGTAGAAAAAAATCGACAGCCAAATCCGAGTAGAGGAAGACCTCTATTACCACCAAAAAGTCATCCAGGTCCAAAAAAATTCAATTTTTCTTAGACAGACGATTTTATTGCATATTCTTTCACAAAATACACCTAAAAGTGTAGAAAAAAATCGACAGCCAAATCCGAGAAGAGGAAGACCTCTATTACCACCAAAAAAATTCCAGGTCCAAAAAAAA